GCATCACTCCTAGTAGTGTCATTAGCATCACTCCTAGTAGTGCCATTAGCATCACTCCTAGTAGTGCCATTAGCATCACTCCTAGTAGTGCCATTAGCATCACTCCTAGTATTATCATTAGAAGTGGTAACAGTACTAGGATTTATTAGCAATGTCATAATTCATTAGATGACACATTTTTAACCCCAGGGTTACAAATAATATCTGGGGTCTTCTGAAATAACACTGCCAAAACATTTCACCCCAAATTACAGGAGTTACACAAAAATACATTTTTACAATATAAATCACATTTCTATTCAACAAACAGTTCGAAAATTCGACAAACAGGTATCAGGTCCTCAGACAGAGGGAGGTTCACCCTGAGAGGGACAGCAGGATGACAACTGGCAGGCTTACTCTGGGATCCCAGACTTGGAGATTTAGATTGCATTCCTCTGGCTGCTTCAAGAGGACCGGATTGGGCCACTCCCTAATAGAACGAGACCCAGTTAGGAATCGGGCAGACTCATTTTATTTATCCCACAATTTCATTCCCTGTCCACACAAGATGTCTATACATATATTTCTATATTAAAACATGCAATACAAGAGTATTTTACTTGACAGACAGACCGGCCCCTCATTAGCAATGAATATACTACACAGACATGTAATCCAACAGACAGGGAAAGGTCAAGAATAAGGAAAACTTGTCTCTGTCAGCAAAAGAAAGCAGCGTTAAATGGAGAAGCAACTGTCAGAGGCACAAGGACACACCCTCACCATTTGGAGAAGACCAAAAAGAACTTGTGCACCAGGGTGGACGCCACAGCGTTGGGATACAGCTGGCAGGTACGGGCAACCAGCATAGCCCACGAGACCCCTCCCAGGAAGCCCAAAATGTTGGAGTAGATGTTGTGACCTGCAAACATTTCAGAATGATTGATACTCTATCCCTGCTGAAATACCTACTCAACACAAAGAAAATATATTAAAGCCATGACTTATTATGGCAGGGAATTAAAGCAAATATTTATCAAAGTCACTGTTTAACTATATCACAAAATGTGGTAATCATACAGCAGCAAAGCAAGATTAATGCAGGAAATACTTCAAGCTTAACAACCACAAACTGCAATCTCCTTGAGAGTAAAAAGTAAAAACAAAAGGTCTGTTTCTTACATAATATAATTAGGAAAATTACCAAGCAAACTTCAATAATTTAGCAGTTTGGTAGAGATAGTGCAGAAATTTTGCCAACAATTCTCTGAACACATTTTATCTTGAAAACATTAATGCAAGCCGGCTATGGATGCATTTGCTGGCTCACAATAAATATGGTAACAGTAGAGGGCAAAGGATTTTAGGCCACCTTAAATATTTTTAAGCAGCCACAGTCTGTGAACACTAAATCATCAGCATTAATGTTACTTCTTATTACTTGTTATTACAATTAGAGGTGTTTCCAGACATCCCTAATGTAGTATGTTAATTCAATTATAAATCAAAACTATACAGTATAGTGGCATGTACAAGGAAAATTCATAGTTTGCAACAACTATTAAGTGATTTAAAGTAGGGATAGCTCAATGCACTTTTTGGTATCCCAATCTGATCCATTCGATGTTTATATCTGCTGATTCAGAGTCCCCCATTCGATCTTTTAATAAACATTTTAATATATATATACACATACAGAAGGTGTCTGTACATTCTTCATCTGAGTAAGCCTTCTGGTTTCACAATACTCTTCCTTATGAGGTTTCTGCAAGATTTGTTGTATTAATCAAAGCAAATCATACCTCCTCTCGAAAGGATGGCATTGCAAACACTGTAGGGAGCATTTGGGCTATTTAAAGAATTTCCACATGTAGTTTCAAGCCATGTGCCTCAGGCTTACTGTAGCATACGATGGAACCTTACAATCTGCGGAACTGACGTGCATTAGGCAGACTCTGGAAATTAAATACTTTGAGACATTGAGATACATTTTCATCACCTGCTTGTGAGGTCTTTGGATTAGATATCCATCAATTAAGAAATGCCTGAATTGGCCCAAATTCTGATCTGTGATACCGGGTTGGGACATCACTGATTTAAAGACATATAGCCACCATCCAGAAAGTGAAACACTGAACATACGCTTTGCCCACAACTTGATGGCTCTGAGGGTGAGTCTGAAGTTCTCAATGTTGGGCACCAGGTGCAGGATTTCATCAGTCACCCTGCAGCCTGAACACAATGGAAACTTACTTCAGCAATGTGCCTGACATGACAACACACACTCAAAAGGACATCAAAATGATTAAGATTAACTCTACTATTGTCAAATACATTTCTGATGTCAATATCCATGTAATTCTTGATGTGACTACTACATCTCTACATAAACTTCATGGCTGATGAGCCTCGGATTAAACACCTACTGCATATTACAGCTGAAGGGAATCACACACTTACCATTAAGACTTCGAATACAACGGATGTCCAGATTCTTGAGCAAGCTATCATCTCTGAGGTCCAGGGATTCCGGGATAGTCTGCAGTGCTAAGCGGGCGAACAGTATATCAATCTAATACAAACAGACAACACAAATGAAGCATATAACTTAATCAGCTGTCACAGAGATTTTCTTCACTACCTCAATTTGTCTTTGTTCTCAGACCACGAACACAACCGAACTGATATATCTTCTATCTGCCAAATAGACAACAGTTTAAGACACATTACCTCAATGCCATCGAACGATAACTTTATTACTGGAACAAATGCTTCTTCCACAGCCTGGACAAAGAAAGCCAAGTCACAATTCACACACACAGCAATTGATTTGGTGAAAAATTCCATACAACGAGGGCGCTTTTCCACTGCATCGGGTGCAGTACTTCTGGTGTTATGCTCATGCAATTCCCACATCACAAGAACCGTGATAGCCTGATCTGAACCCAGTTATCTCATACCATCATACTGTCTGAACATTATAGTATGGGGAGAGGATTGTTCCTTTTCAAGATTATCTAGTACGTGTTTTAAAAATCGGTTTCAAGTTTACCGTTGCTACTTTTGCATGAGCTCTGCATGCGCTCTCTGAGCCAATCATTTCAACTTTGCTGTTTAAATCACTCTTAAAGGGGTTATTTATTTTGAACTCATTTTTTGCTTTATAAATAACCCACCGTTTATTGCAACAAAATTACAGCTTCTTATTTCAAACTGAATGCCATCGTGCAGCCTGACTGTATCATAGCATTTTTTTTTGTATGTTGTCATCCAGATCTTGTTGAGACTGTTTTTTTTCCAAGACGTCAGTTGTATTGTGTTTCAGAGGCAGCCTATCTGCAGAACCAATGAACAATAAATACTTTTGCAAGTCCCACCCCAAAGTACCGAAAAATTATCCCAGTTGGATTGATACTTTTAGTACTAATATTGGACCAGAAGTCAATGGAAGAAAGGAATGTACCGGATTTTTAATACCAAAGGTATGGTACCTGTTGCAGTGGAAAAGCGTCCTAAAACAAATTTTTGCCAAATGCATGCACAGCCCACTGTCTCATGTGGTGCTAGGCCGTGGACGATCTCGTACCCTCAGATCCTTAACCTCTTCTTGATCTTTTAGCTTCTCATAAAATGAGGTGAAGAAATCGGAGCGTTCCACGTGACGTGGGGCAACACAGAGGGCATCGATATCAGCGCCTTCAAAGACATCACAGGGGGGGAAATTAGGCACAAAAATATCTTTATCATTTGCTAAAGATCAAGCAGACCTTTACACGTTAAACTGAATGCTTATCCATGTTCTGCAATAATTACAACTATCAACATTCATGTGTTATTGCGTGTGAGAGACCAGTATCAAACAAACAAATATTACACAGAACTATAAGCAGCAAATGCACAGTATTACAGTAAAACTGCAGGACTAAATACATAACATATTCACACATATAAGTAATCATTTTAATTAGGTGCACAGGGGGAAAAGTAGCCCTCAAACTGAACAGCTTGTGTGGATGTACCTTTAATTGCACTATACCTCATTCTATACAAATACCAAAACAGAAAGTGTAAAAGGAAAAAAAAGCTTACCTTTTGTATGAACTCCTAACCTATAAGAACCAAATGTGAATATCTTCCCACCAACGCTTTCAACTAAAGAGGCTGGCAGATTCTGTTTGAAAAAGATGCATATATTAAGGACTAATCTGGCTCAGAAATGGGACATATTTGTAACTGAATATGTAACATTAATAATAATTATAAGGATTATTTTCTAAATTATTTTAAGACAAAGGGGGGGGGGTCATACCTTCTTTTCACTTATTTCTCTAATCCATTCTTTGACCAGTGAGTTTAATTTTCCTAAAACCAAAATCCTGTCAAAAGGTTACGCAAAGGTTAGTTCCAAACAAGCAATACAACTCCCTGGAAAATATTTGCACATTGTTTTGGGGGAGCAAATTTATACAGCACTGCAACTGGGCATGCTCTTGCTAATGGGGATTCACAGTAAGCTTGCGGTATGTCGGGGCATGGTCAGAAGCGGAGACAGTAACCATGACGATGGATGGGGCCTGGGCTCACGCCACCATTACCAGTATCGCCACCATCACATCACCTGCGCTGCAGCTCGAGCTCCTCCTCAAACACGGCATACGGCTTCAGTGCCTCGCACAGCTTCTGCGTCAGCACCAGGTCAGCCTCCTTCGGCAGGGCCAGGCTGATTGGGGATGTGATCCCATAGTGCTTTGGCTGATGCTGGGATGTCTGTAGTTGATTTGCTGCAGGACTGAAGACAAATACACCATTTAGAAATCATTCCCTAAAATAACGCTCATTTAACATGCGTTAAGTGACAAGTCTTACTTCACTGCTGTGTTCAGTTACTCTTACTGCCATAGTAATGTTAACCTTAGTATACTGGAACACTTGCAAGGTAAGGCTGCACATAAATCTGCATGTCAAAGTTACTGAAAAACTAAAAAGGAAAAGATTTATTTTCGACCCAGAGTGCAAACTGAAATACATTCTTGTATCTAACTGAAAAGGCCTGGTCTGGGGGCATGACAAGCACGACAAAACGGAACCAAACTCACAACCGGTAACATTCGGAAGAATAGCCTAAATACCAACTTTCACGCAGCTCACATGTAACAACGGGAATCTGCCAACAGGGGGCGTCTAGCCAGAAATCTGAAGTATTACACATCAGGCTAGATCATAATGGTAACTAATAAAGTAACGTAACGCCAAAAACACGTTGGTGGTGGCTATGGGGAACATCTTACACAGCAGACTGAATAAATCCAATGGCCAGAAGGGCGAAAAGGAGGTGGTGCTGCAAGTGCCGCCTTCCGACTAAAACACACCAAAGCCCCATCTTCGGCAAAAACATCAAATCTATCAGGTAACGTCACGCTTTCATCAATATCGCTTCGCAGAAAGCGGAGCTGTAAAGTTCCCGCAAGAGCTGTTCCCGGTATCCTGCTACTGTAGTTTAAACCAGATTTTGTTGATTATATATATACGCCACCGGGGGTCCACTGACGTAAACCACATGCCTCTTGTCATAAACATTTTCGTACAACTGACTCTCTTAAACTTACCAGTCTAAAAAAAAAAAAAAAAGTGTATGAGTCGAATTTACGCTAAAGACGGGGAGTCATCTAACAGGGAGGTAGTATTATGCCAACTAATTTGTTTTATTCAGAATCGCAATACTTCTGCTTTTATCCTAACTTGTTATTGCCGACACGTCATGTAATCCGAACAGACGCGACATATGTTACCTAGAGAGGGCGGCGCGGCCCTTGTTAGTAAGCAACCGGCTTTCAGCTGCGCAGTGATGCCGGCTTTCGCGGCGCCGAACACGGCTTTATGGCCGAGGTAAGCGTCGGTGTGCGGTGAGGCCGAGACCCCCAAAGCGCTCCGCCGAAAGCGCCAACTGTGAAATCGAGCCGCCCGACACCCGGAAAGCGAGCAGCAAAGTTAACGGAGAGCGGCCCAAGCCATCTCGTACACCGTGGTGACATTACAAACGGTTTACCAGTATAAATTATATAAGGAACAGAAAAGAAATGTGTTTTCATATTTTGTTTTTCTGTCACAGCGGGATGACCGAGTGTTATTTTCGGGTCGCTGTCACCACGACGCTAGCCAGTTACCCAACCGCCATAATTAAACACCGTGTCAGATATATATGTGTATACTTACAACTGCATGATATATATTCCCGACGCGCAAATAATTAGACCCCCTCAAACACCCCGCTCATGGTTGGTTGGTTTGTTTGTTTTTATTATTAATATTTCCAGTTACTCCCGTGCTGAACTAGGAAGCTGCGGATTTTTCCTTTTGTTTCTACTTAACATGGCGCACGGTCGGCTTCTACGGCAACCCCGAACACGCGCTACGTAAACGTGTGACGTCACGAGCACAGGTCCACGTCTCTGTTGGGAAATGGAGTTTTAAGGGTGGTTACAAAGGGCCGTATAAAAAAATTAAAACAATTAAAAAAAACAAGAAAAGAAAAACAGAGCTGTATTGCTCTGTGGGATTTTTCAAACTGCAAGAGTCTTGGAAAAATTGCAGCAAATGCTGTGCGAGATGGAAAATAGCCATCATATGACTTTAAGCTTGGATCTGGTCAAAGTATGACTCAACCTCCGTTCGGGGAAGTATAATTTCAAAGCCTTAGCTAGCAAGTGTTAGAGAACTCATTTGAAGAGTATTCCAGAGATTTGGTGCATACACAGAAAATGCATGGTCACCTTTTTGATTATGCCAGGCTCGTGGTACAGAACTCCTGTCAGTTGACCTCACCTATCTGGGCCCACAATTATAAGCAAGGCATTCAAAGTATTAAACACCATCAGTAAAAGTTTTAACTGGATCCTAGACTGGACTGGGGCGCAAAAGAGCGAGTGAAAAGATCAGAAGAAATACTTCTGGTTTTGTTCTTTGTCCTAATGACCTAATATTTCCATGACCTAATAGTTATTTACACTAGTTTTAATATTCATATGCTGAGGATTCTCGCTATAGAGTATGTAAAATGGCGAGTTAGTGGCAAAACACTCTGTTTCACAGAAGTCTATCACACACACACACTAGACCAGTGTTTCCCAAACCAGTCCTTAGGGAACCCCGGACAGTCCACGTTTTTGCTCCCTCCCAGCTCCCAGCCAGTCAGGAACACCAAATACCTGGTACAGGTGTACCGGAAGCTGAGAGGAAGCAAAAACGTGGACTATCCAGGGTCCCCTGAGGACTGGGTTGGGAAACACTGTACTAGACAAATGTTGCAAAGCACAACAGCCTCTCCAAAACCCATCTACACTCCTACAGCTTATCCTGAGCAGGGTGATGAGGGACACCTGCAGCCTGTCCCAAGCAGCACGGGATGTGAGGCTGGGGTACTCTCTAGATGGGGGGGCAGTCCATCACAGGGCAGGTGCACTAAGGGTGTTGAAGTCTCCACCCATTTTGTGATTATCTGGGCGGGAGGGGTTGATTGGCCAATTTATGTCCATGAGGTCCACATACTCACACACAATCGCAATCTTTGGGCAATTTAGAAATGAAAATTAGTAGAACTGCATGTTTTGGATTGTGGGAGGAAAATTGAGAACTTGGGGAAGAATAACATAGGGAGAAGCATAGCTAAGGTGGGCTTTGACCCCTTAACTTATAGATGGTGTGAGGCAACAATGCTATCATCCACCCCCCCACCCATTGATATAAATACAGTAGGCATTGCCACTTGATGCAGGAACTCTTCTTTCTCTGACAGCCAGCAAGCTTTGAAATAACAGATAATTGGTCAAACAGATGTGAACTGCTTCTGCAGAATAGCCAACAATCATGACAGGTCAAACAGTTATTTTTTTATTGTGTTTTATTCAGACATAAAACTCACTCAGTAAACACTCAGTAAAACTCTTAAGGAAAATCAAGTGTTCCAACAACTTCTCTGAACCTTGAGAAAAAGCACATCACATAAAAAAAAAAAATCCACATATAAATTTTTTTATTTCAAACAAATAAAGTGCTGCTGATCAGTATTTTTACCTGTTTAAATTCAGTGCATTTCTTACTGTATTAAACATTTGGATTTCAGAATGTTCAGAAAAGAAAAAAAAAAAAGTCAAGTTCCCTTTATCAAAACCTTAAGGTTTTATTACATCTGCACAGTTCCTTAATTATGAGCTGCATTGTTGGGGAACTGATTATGGAAAACCAAGGCACATGATCACAATAGCATTATTGTATAAAACATCCCCCATACCATTTGGCAGAAATCACTTTTTCAATTTCATTAAATAAAAAAAAAAAAAATCAATCCACTAAGGCACAGTTCATCATCCCAATGCTCGATTTAATATGCATTACATTCAGTTGAATGGGCAGGATGTAAGACATGACTCATGAAGGAAACACACAAAGGCCTTATGGGGGTTTGTCTCTACATGACAGAAGCCTGAACACGTATTTTAGGGCAATAAAATTTTCAACCATTTTGATATGTTAAGATTAAACTGGGCCAAATTCAATCCTTGTTAAGTAAAGGCTTTTTTACCCTATTGATCCTTCAAGTTAAGTGTTTCATCTATTATTTTCACAAACTTTTAATCATTGATGTGAAATGGTATAATGTACTGATATGGTCTCACACTCTGGGAAATTCCCTAACTGTATAACCTGAACAGCTCTGAGAAGTAGAAATCTTACAGTGACCCACATGAACATGAAGGAGATGACCGAACTTGAAGCCAACAGAACAGGGTTTCCTTGGTCTATAAAGGATCATGTCCCAGTATTTGCTTGTGTGGCTGAGCATGTATGTGACATCACCATGGCGATCTGCAGGAATGTCACAGTCACTCTGCCTGAATCTCGAAGTTATCGAACTGAGCGAGTTCGAACGTGCTGGTGCCGATCGCTGCCCATCCTTTCTTGGGCTGCAGCACCACGGCCGACTTCCACAGTGGGTATCCATTCAGCATTCCTGAAGCAAAATCACCCTACGAGGAAACAATGGAATTACAGGAAGCACCTGCTCAAAGGATTATTTGCAAAAAATCCTCAACCACGTCTTTGTAACAAGGTGTTCCTTAGCATACTATTTTTGTTTTCATATCCTAGTTGATTAGACGCTTTCACAATTAGGAGGGTATAGAACAGGGTTATTCAAATCACGGTCCTCGAGGTCCGAGCACTGCTGGTTTTCCAGCCTTCCTTTACCTGCCAGTCAGGTGTGAAGCCTCTGTGGCCAATCAGAATCAGTAATCATTAAACTAACTACCTGGGAGAACTGAAAACAAGGCCTGGATTTGGAATCGAGGTCCAGATTTGAAGAACCCTGGTATAGAACAAACCTTGACTGTGAGACTTAGTGTATGCCAAACCCCAGCTTGTGTTCCAGACAATCCTTCAGCAAGCACACTTTTTTTGGCTGGAAAATATAGAGGGGGGGGGGGTTGTCAGGAATATTTCAGGAGTACAGAACATGCCAGCATGTGTCTGAGAACGGTAATATTGACCTATGTCATTGGTGACTTTATAGGTGCCATCCGCAAACACCCAGAAAAACACCCCCTTGGCGTTTCTGACAGCCTCTCCCCCCTGATCCACCCGAGCGGCGATGAACACCCCCCCTGTCTTGACAGTTTCGATGAAGATGTCACATGTTACTGTCAAGTTTTGCCTGCACAAAAAAAAAAAAAAAGAGAAGCATTCTAACAATGCGCAGTTCCATAATGCTATGTAGCTCATGGCGGATGGGTGTGTTTCTTGTTTTTTCCATTCAATCATTTTCATGCATGCAATGAAAACCGCTAAACAGCTCCTGTAGGTCACATATACTTAGACAAAATTAACATAAACCAACATTATTCACTGACATCTCAAAGGGCCCAAAGAGAGATCAAAAGCACTAAAAATGGTATTTTTGCTCTAACAGTTATGGCAGAGAAGCATCCAGGGGCCCAAGCTGCAGCATTTCCACCCAGAGCGATGTCAGAACACGCACCAGCTGTGGTCACCAATCACGCTGATGGTCTGGTCGGCATCCGAGGCCCAGGTGACAGGGCGCTGGGTGACCACCTGACGCAATGTGAACACGTGTGGCCCGGGGTCCGTCAGGTTGATGAAGTACTCAAAGACACCGGTCTGGTCAGCGAAGTTTGGCGCCTCGGTGAAAGGAGGATTACCTAAGGAGCAAGTAAAACGTGCAGGTAAGTGAAGAAGATTATTCTGTGCTGTTTGAGCTGATTAAAACTCTAACCTCCCTTGGTGGCTGTGAAGTCTTGTCAGCTTAGCACAGTATGAGAATAATGCTGCTCATATATAGACAGGGATGCATATAACTGGTATGCAAATAAGCATTCGCCGTATAAAACAATATGCGAATGTGTATTTGCGTACCAGTTTTATACATCCCTGTATATAGAATATAAAAAGTATTCAGTTGTGTTTTTGTCCCCTAAACAGCTGGACTCTGAACAGCGTGGGCCCTGGGATATCACGTTTCTCCTCGGCGTGCCGTACTTACAACCCTTGTTCATAAGGAACAGCACATTCA